AAACGCTGGATTTTCTCGAACAGCTCGAGAAGCGGAAATTTTCGACATTTTGGCAACTCCGTTATTGGATTAAGCTCTAAAATCGCATCCTTGTTCGCGTATTCCGCCATGAGACGCCAGAATTTCACAGGCGAACCGATATTCGCAGAAACCGGAATCGAGACGCACAGCCACGTTCGAAGATGATACTTCCGGAGTTTGCTGTCTGCGGAGGAGTACACTTTGAATCGCGATACGTACAACTTTGATGAGCCAGGAAATAGAGACAAGTTTGTTTCTCTGCGGAGCATCTTCCGCGGAGAAGTCGCGTTGCCGGACGGTTTTACATGATATCGAATTTACTTCTCGCGTGCCAAAACTTTATTTTTTCTCGTACATTTTATATATCGGCGGGCAAAATTTCTTCGAGTCCGTTAAAGCGCCGCAAGTGTCTGACATTCCGAAAAAATTGTTTTCGTGTATTTTCTGTCGCGCGCGCGCGTGTGTGTGTGTGTGTGTGGCCGCGCTGCGTACATCTTCTTTGTAATAGAAAAGACCCTCGACATCTTGCCCTAACATTATCGTCGCGGCTTTTACACGCGTTTTACGACTCGGGCAACATTTTGAAAATATTGTGCGAAACTGCGTTACGTACATCACGAGTTTTAAACCGCATTTTTTCCCCCAACGCACTTTTCTCTAAGTTCCGGCGGTCGTGTTGCGATTTAGAGAGGACAAATGCGATATTTTTCGAAAATATTTTCACAGGAGATAGCACGCAACAGATTGTGCGGCTCTCGTGAGATTAAAATCATCAACGTGCGAACATTTTTCCCCGGGAGAATTTAAAATATACGCAAAGCCTTCGTGTCTCGGCTGTTTTAACAGCTTAAATCACCACTCGAGTTCTCTTCCGATCTTAATTGATTCAAGGCAAATTAGCGTTTTAAAGTCAAGAGCGGAAAACACCGCCACTGCATTTTGGCGTTGCGAATCGTCGGGTTTTTCTTCTCGAGGAGAAACCGAAATGACGATAATGGCGCAAGCTTGCGGTCGTTGAATCTGATTTTCCTATTTAGTCTTTCTCTCAGTCGCCAGCAACTGCACGTTCTTGGGAGAAGTGTCCCACTGTCGTGGAATTGCTGTTCGTTCGCCCGGCTTCCACGGCTTCCACGTGCAATAGACGACGACGAATCGTAAATTCCGTGCTCGACAATCAAGGTGCTCGAAGGAGTCCGTGCGCGCCGGTCTAATTCATTCCGCGTCGACGGGATATGTGGGTAACGACGAGCCGCTAACGCCGCGAATTGCGTTTTCAATTAAAAACTCGTTTACTGGTTCGCTCGTCAATTCGCTCTACTAACACTCTACTTGCGTTCTACTAACTTACCGCGGGGGGGATGGGGGGCGGGACGTGCGGTGTACGTCTAGTCGCGTAATTAGATCGTCGCACCGTGAAATGTGTCGGTTTCGCATCAACGGTCTTCCGCTTATTTCCGTGGGAATAAAATATGTGCGCGACCGAAGGTATTCAGTTATCTTTGGCGTTTCTCACGAACAGGAGAAGCTTATCCTTTGACTCGCTTATCGTCCTCGCTAATCCCAGGATCGAAGAGCTTATATCTGAACCGGCATAAATCGATGTTTTTAACAAAATGAAGATTGTCAAAGTTATGGAAAGCTTCAGTGAGAGATAATAGAAAATTGATAGCGTAATGTGAATAAGAATGACGGAGGAAAGAAAGGCACGAGCTTACCAACAACGAAGCTTTTACCATAGTTTCCTAACACGCGATCTTCATGTTTTCTTCTTCTTTTCTCTCTCTCTCTCTCTCTCTCTCTCTCTCTTTCTCTTTCTTTTTCTTTTCTTCTTTGTTAAATATGGATCGAAGATAGAACTAAGCCTTGTACTTACGCAATGGCGGTAGAGAATAGTCGAATAATAAGGCGCTTTTTAAGCCCGCTGTTTTTAGCAGAGTGCAATAGAAAATATAAGCGAGTTGCGTGCTAGTTGCTCGCTTATTTACTGGCCTCGTATATTTGCGCGATATTTACGCGCAGCGGCTGCACTTTTCCCGAGGTGTTTTTTAACTTTAATCTTATTCGTCCGCTGTTTTACCGCGACATGGAAATTGACGGATTACGACGTCGCAAGCCGCATCTGTACCGCATAATAATCAGGCCCGATAAAAACCTGTTGAATCTGCTCGATTTTGTGACGAAACCTCTTGTACGTATGTGAGCGAAAAGAAACTAAAGCAGAAGTTCTTCTTTAAAGAAATACTTAGCGAGAAAACAAAAAAGGAGAAAGAGAGAGGAACGATAAGAGGAGCGGGGAGGAGAAAGATACAATAAAACAGATTCAAGTGTCATAAACAACAATTTATGGTACTTGAGAATGCACAATAATCAAAGTAGTCAAGTGGCGGATTTTTTCCTGCCGGTATGTAATTTTAACGAGTCTATAAACTTCCCCATTTACTAAAGTGAAAAAGATAGCGAGAGAGTCAGATACTAAAACTGATGTTTCCGCACCGCGCTCGAATACGAGCCGTTCGATGAGCGAAGCGATGTTACGATGAAGCGAATTGCCGCGGCGCGATGCGCGCGTTGATAAGATAACAGTCCATTAGTCGGCTATTTCGATCGTAGTGAAATAAATTTTCCGCCGGACGCTCTCGGGTTAAAAGTTTTTTTTTTCACGATTTTTACGCAAATATTTGTCAACCGAAAATCCAATTCCCGTTGGAAGTACATGACATGTGCCGATAGCAAGGGTATCCGCGCGATGAAACACGTGGAGGTATCCCCAGAGTTACCGAGTAACTTTTCATCCACTCGGACATTCGGGCCGCCGGAGGATCGTTTTTGTAAATAGTCTATGACGCTTTTGCGAAACACAAAATCCTCGAGAAACGTAATTTCATTATTTTCCCTTGATGAAATGGAAACTGACTCGATTCCCCAGTTGCTGCGGCGGCTTCAGGTTCTATGCGTAATCCACTCTCGCTCTCTATCTCTCATTAAGCGAGATAAACCGCCGGAGTTGAACTTACGCAGCGTTTGTACTTAAATTTCGACCGCCCCCCCCCGCCCCCTCCCCCCACATCCCGGGAAAGCGCCGCTCGACAGCATTTCGCGCGAATTACGCTCGGAATCTAATTTGCGTGCCTCGCTATCCGAGCTTTGCATGCCAAATTGGATAGCCATCAACTCACGCTGTCGCGTAAAACCATCGTCGGGCAACGCGCGACTACGAGACGCGGCCACGCGGTGAGGCGTTCGTTCATTTCCATAAATTGATATGCACTTCTAGTCGCCCTGTATACGAGTTGTCGTGCCGAGCCGAGTCGAGCTGAGCAGAGCTGCGTCGCGCGCGCCGCCTCGTGCTTTGCCCTGCTGTGCCGTGAACGTGGCAACTCGTTTAACCATCAATCTAAGACGGGCGTTACGTACGATGTCGCTTATATTTGGAAGGAATATTTGGTTGCTTTAATAAATCTCTGCGAGAGAGAGAGAGAGAGACGGGAGGGGGAGTGCCGCTCGGAAAATCGGCTTTGTATTTGTATGCCATGTGAAACGTTCCGCGTACGCGTCGAAATATGCTCTGTATGTAAAATGCACTTTAGAATTTGCGTAGTAAAAAATATGCTTCGTATATGCATATATAGAACAACGTTTCGTTATTTCTGTTGGGAATTACAAGCTTGACTGGACGATAAATATTCTCGTCAGGGGACGCAAATATTGCGCGGTTTATATCAAAACATACTCTCTCCTCCCCTTTTAAGCAAACGAGCATGCAGCTGTTCTTTTTTCTCATTCTCTAGCATAGTTTGTGCTATTAGTAAAACTTACAGCGAAATATCGGTGTGGTTATGTGCTCGACGACGGAAAACGTGAGAATTGGAAATATGCAGAATTCAGGCGAAGTTATAAGAACGACATGTGTTGCCCGATGTGTGTTATTCTTAATTGCGAGATCGTATGAAAATAGAGTTTGCATCAGCAATGCTTAATCTGGTAATACATTATTTTTCTGCCAGCCTCGGTTAATGCGTCGTTATTCTTGACTCTCGAACCATATTCTCCGCGACTTGTGCGAGAGTTCTTTGAAGATCTCCATAATGCTCCGCCATATTTGTATTCGGATTGCAAAGTCTATATATATGCAAATTTTATTTCGTATAATATAAGAATAAAGAATGCACAGCGGGAAATACTTCCATAATTTAACAACACGGTACATTCTATTCGTTCGAATCAATAAACCCGGAGGAATGGTAAACATGAGAAATAGGATAAAAGCTGCTTATACGATTTTTAATGGAATAATAAATGTTTAATGTCGGATCTCTTTCGGTCCTGTCTTTACGCGTGAGCTATATATCTCAAAGAAGAGTGCGACTGAGAAAGTTAAATTTCAGCAGAAGAGCGCGACTGAGAAAGTTAAATTTCAGCAGAAGAGCGCGACTGAGAAAGTTAAATTTCAGCAGCAATTGCGATGAAATTTTAACGGTGTCTATCGCGAAATTTCGGGGCGAGTTCAGACGGAGAGCGAAGTCAACGTAACTTCATTTTTCGGCTCCTAAGATAGCCTATTATCGCGCTTTATTCCCACTTTACGAACCAGGACGGAGAATTATCGGGTCACGAAGGCGAGGAGGCGCGGCGCAAAGAGACGGAGCCGAACCGAGTCGAGACGCTTTTTCCCTTTAGCGCCAGTCTTTACGAGACGCGAAATCGTAATATCGAAAAGATTTCGACTTTCTTCGTGCACAGTCAAGCGTTACTTTCCCGCGGCTCATTTTTCATTCCCGCATCTTTTGCGGGTGGTCCATAAATCCGGCCTCATATCGATTCCGCGCCTAGTGGCCCACTCCCTTTACCAAGAAAACGAGAAAGTTATGGATTATTTGACGTTGAATATCGAGGAGAATGAATATCGAGAGAGAGAGAGAGAGAGAGAGAGAGAGAGAGAGAGAGAGAGGGGGGGGGGAAAGAGGGAAGGCGGGAGAGAACGCTCGGACTATAAAAGTCTATAACAAGCGACCGAAATAACTGCAAGTTCTTTTGAGAGTTCTGTCGAATCACAATTGAGTGACAGCTGTTCTCTTTGGTGGTTACCTTGAGGTCAATTTTCCTCGACAGCACGAAGGTACGTGTGGTTTTCAAGTTGCAACGGTGACAGGAGGCGAACGTCTTATCGGGAAATAAATTTGCGTCTACGAAATAACGGGATTTTATTGTGTATTTATTTATTTTATTTTATTTTGAACGTGGACGTAAGCTTTATTCTCCATGTAACGAGTTTCAATTGAAGAATTACCGAACTATTAAATTTTTTTCCCGGAAACGTGGAAAGTCGCGACAATTACTGATCTGCCTCGATATTCTTGTCAAGAAAAAATTGTTACCGGATGCGTCGGGGTACGTATTATTGAAATTTCATTTGATGAAAGCGCGGTGCCTTGTGTACCCACACGATTTTCTTAGCCGTATAAAGCATCCACCTTTTCTTCTCATAGTTGACGTCTATCCCTAAATATTATTCCGCTTAAAGCTCCTAAAGCTCTAATAAATCCGCCAATGGCACCGCCACCATTCGTGTTTCGTTTCATGTTCTGGTTCTGCTCTGCTTCGCGATTCTCGCTAGCCATAAATATCAATATTACCTGTTCTACCCGCCATTAGTCTCATTTTGTCATCGATTTTATCCAGGTTCAACGAATGACGGTTACACGATGAGTTAAACGGTGCAATTGCTCGTAAATGCTATCCTTCATTTACGAGACACGAAAGCGTCGTGAAAAATAGAGGCTAGTTCTCTGCAACTCGTCGCGAATGAGCGACATCAAAATTCTATCTCGTGCAAAATGCGTCCTGCCTTTCGAAACACTGATCTCTTTTTTGCGAATTACCCTTTGATGCGACGAGAAGTCGAATGGTCATTCAAGGTACTACTAACTTTAAACGAGATTCGGCCTGTATAGTATAATTCAAATAATCGATGAATGGCACACGCTGGGAACGATGGTAAGTAACGAGGTCAATTATAAGAAGCTACGGACTACATGTATTGCTACATTCAGACGTGTTTCATTACGTTCAAGCACATATAAATCATACCGACGTTGGAAAAAGCCGCGTTTCATTGCAACGAGCTTCCTTGCAAAAGAATCGCCAAAACCGTATTATCATACGGTGTGCGTATAATTTTGCCATTTAAATAATTCTCCTTTCCCAATTAACGAATGAATAATATCACGATGAATTTAATGCAATAATGTGGGACGCGCATTGGAATAGGCAGATGATAACTGTTCTTTGAGCGAACATCGTGTTATTACCGATGTAACGTTCGCTGATCGTTAATTATAACGTGAATCTACTCTTTCAGTTATGGGATTGAATTATCGAACTTGAACGTGATACGAAAGCCGCCGCTGTCATCATTCTATCGTCTTCATCTTCGTTGTGATTGTCGTCGTTTCGATTAGGGAACGTCGCTTTTTGCGTTAACATAAATCGCGCAAGAGCGAACTAACAAAGTCGGGGGCGGGTTTTGCTAGTGTCGGTATATGCCGCGGCGAGGATGCTGGCGTGCGTCTATCCGCCGGAAAACTTTGAGGTGAAAACCGTGACGGTGAAGCTCCATCATGGAAAATCGAAGCGAAAGTCTAAGTCTCTACTCTCAGTGAAGGAAAAACTTTCGGACGCCGCGGAGACGACGGGATGCGGCAACAGCGGCAACCGAGTGGGCAACGAGGTAAGATCTAACTGAAAAGGAAGAAAAAGAAAAAAGAGGGAAAAAGAATAAGAATGGGATGAGACAAAGCAGAAGGAGAAGGAAGAGCTCTTGTGATTGTTTATTGCTGGACTTTCATCTCGCAGAAATTACTAGGAATAAAATGCAGACAAGATATTTATTCGTTCTCGATATCCTAATTGAATCAGTTGCTACGAAAGCGCACGTGTATTGTAAAAAGGAAGGAGGTTTTGCTCGGAGGAGGAAGTCGCAGTCGTTCATTTGTTAGCTGTCTCGTTCTGCAAAAATTATTACAAATAAATTATACGTGAGCTATTCTGTTCGTCCTTTAATATTCGAAGGTTAATAGCTCTTCCCTTCGCGTGTGCGCGTAGAAATGAGTCGCGTTCGCATTCATTTCGCGAATGAATGCGCGCGGAACGAAAAGAAAGAAAGAAAGGGAGAAAAAGGTGGGAGAGGCTCGCTTCGGCAGCCTCGGAGGCGAACAAACTGCCGATTACGTTACAGCTTCTTTTCCGCGCTACCTGTTTTCAGACTCTTGGAAATTAATTTTGCAGGGGGAGGGGGGGTCGTACAGGCGGATTATCCCCCGGGGATTATCCGCTCCCTACAAGAATCCGCTTCTATGAGAAATTTCTTTTTGGTTTACGTGTTCCCATGAGAGAGAACATCTTCTTTTCACCGGCTTTTCCGCCCCCTTGCTCCATTTCGTCCGCGACGGAAACGTATTTCGTCGGGTATCGTAGATTACTTGATTCCTCTTAATGTGCCTTTCGAGAGGCCGCTCGGATTAATTGAGGATTTGACAGATCACGCGCGCATATACCCTTGTGATTATATTTTCGTTGAGTATCCTCGTTCTCACCGAACTGATTTATCACCGCGAGAGAACGGCGTCTCGCGTCAACACCACTGCAGCCTGGCACAAAATGCGAAATGCAAATGAAACGAATCGGTAAATCGACCTGAATCGTTTTTGTAGGTCGAAAGGTATTACAATTGCTGGTCCCATAGTTACTATATCTTGCACTGTTCGCGCGTAGTAACAGGTGTGTTGCTGGTAATGAAATTGAATGCGAATCGGCAAGTCGTCGGGAAATGGCTTTTCATTTCTCTGCTCGCTCGCTCGTGAGCGATACGTCCAACTACGAGAGACGAGACACGCGTTGCTTCGTTACCATCGCAGTCCGCGCGGTCGAGCCGGTTCGAAACAATTAACTGTCACGCGAGAGAGTTACCACGGAGTGAAAAAGCAAGAGCTGGAACGGCGCTTGAAGGCAGTTGTATTATCATCCGCTCGCGTTCGCGTTGTTATTGTCTTGTGGATCTCGTGCAACGCGATATTTTCGTTCTAACGCGACTACGAGACCACTCGCGCACTGGACAGATACAGTGGTATACATGTAAGTAAAGCACGCGAGAAAGCAGCGTCGCAACTTTGGATTCGCTCAACTTGGACACGACGATTCGAGTGATGGAAGAAACGAATCGACTTGTTTTGTTTGTTACGTGTAATAACGGGAACGCTCTTTGTCTCAATTACCAATTGGAAGTAGAAAAAGAGAGATCAATTTGATGGTCCTCTATTTCTCAGGTACCCGAGTATTTTTGATAATACCTGGGGATACTTGTGTCCTTCGGATGTTATCTCGGATGTTACTTGATTATTAATATTTCTAACAATAACAAACAATAAACGAATGTATTACAGACTCGTAACTGAAAGAAAAATATTTGATGCTTGTAATTATAATCATCATAGTGAAAGAGTTTGTAATCGAGAGAAACAATTTTCTAGTAAATGTTACTATAGTGTCAGTAATAATAACCTCACATGCACGTTGCTACTACTTTTTGTGATTAAAATTATAAAAAGAGCATAGTTGAGGCCAAAAATAATTATAATTTCTCTTAGTACACGGAAAGAAAGAATTAGCTCCCACAGCTAACAATTAGCTGTTCATATAATACAACTGAAATTTAGTTACCAGATCTAGTTTTTAGCTGTAGAAGTTACTTCCTTTTTTCGTGTATTTATCCGTTACTACTTTTCAGTTGCCGGGATAATATCCGTGAATTATAGGTGTCCGGATATCTGGATAGTAACCGCTAATGTGTATACTTGGGTACCCGAGTGATATCCACGGGTTTGCACGGAGAAAAAGAAATAGTCTTCATAGCTAAAAACTAGTTATTCATTTAATACAACTGAAATTCAGTTATTAGACCTGGTTTTTAATTGTAAAAGCTAATTCTTTTTTTCCATGTACGACTATAGTCATAGCTATATACTACTATAGTCATAAGAATTAGCTCCCAGCTATAAGCCTAACTGCTATAAAAATTAGGTCTGGTAATTAAATTTCAATTGTATTATATGGACAGTTAGTTTTTGGCTGTTGGAGTTAATTCTTTTTTTCCGTGTAAATACTCGAGTATCGAAATAGTTACACTATTACATGACACACTGACAGCACTACTGTCTAGCAACTACCCAGTCGACCAATATTCGCGAGTTTGAGTATCTGAGTATAGAAATAGCTGAGTAATGGTGACAGCATTAAAAGAGGCTAGGTAATAAAAGAAAAGGCTTGACACTCTCGGCTTCCCTTAAAGAGGGTGGCGGATCGACGTGCCGGGGACGAATGTGATCAACATTTGCGGGCGCTCTTCGATTCGCGCTGTCCGTCGTTGACTGTCCCGTCGTCGTCGTCGTCGTCCGGCACTTTCATTGACGTACGAAGGTTACGCGGAGTCCTTGTCGCAGTGGAATTCGAAGGGCCACACGCCAACCTTGGGATTCTACCTGGTATCGGACGTGGCGCGGCGCGTCGGCCGGTCGGCTGCTCGGTCCTCTCCAGATGGTGGTACCACGAGATGAAACAAAAAGGAGACATGAACGCAGCGCGCATACGTCGGTCCCGCGCTCTTTCCCCGTCGGAGGCTTCGTGGTGCGTTGTGCCGCATCACCCATGTCTTTTCCATGCGCGCGGATACATTATAAAAATTCGAGGTCACGGTAGTCGACCGAAAATTCGTCTGTTATTATATTGAAAGATCCCGATAAAGAGATTGGTGGGAACGATACTTTTTTGAGTCATATGTGACATTTGGGCTGTTCTTTTTAGCTGAACTGGTTGCACCAGTTCAAGAAGTTTACGCACATTGAAACGTCAGAATCTCGTACGTGCGCTTCAAACGCTTCAATGTGTGCCTTATGCTCAAAAAATATCCGGAATTGTCTATTTAAACGAAGCGGTTGAACCGATATTGAAATTTCTTTTTGCCGCTAACGTTGACATCACTGTACTTTCATGAGGAATCTCAGTGCGATGTGTCAATTAGTTTGTTCACGGCAGCTGTTTATGTTAGTCGATCTTTAGTATTTACGGTGATTTTTACAATGTCAAAAGTACAAATCAATCAAGAATAAGGAATTTATCTCAAATTTTATGTTTTCAATGAAATTTCTTATACTGAAACACTTAAAAGGTTAAAGAAAGCCTATGGGAATAATTGCTTTTCAAAAACATAGGCGTATGAATGGTATAAAGCATTCAAACAAGGTCGTGAAGTAGTTGAAGATTTGCCTCGTTCTAGACGTCCATCGACATCAACTAACGACGAAAATGTTGAAAAAATGAAGAAACTAACGTTTGAAAATCAGCGAATAAGTGAAAGAGAGATTGCTATGGATTTATAGGAAGACAATTGATGGATTTTGCACCACGATAATGCACCATCTCACACATCGATGTTAGTATGCAACTTTTTGGCCAAAAATCTCAACAAATATCATTCCACAAGCACCGTACTCGCCATGCTTGGCTCTTTGTGACTTTTTCTGTTCCAAAAATTCAAATTATTACTTCGTGGAAAGTATTTTGAATCGACGGAGGCTGTGAAGGAAAATTGAGAGTTGAAGGAGCTGAATATCTTTATCGGCTTAAAGTGAAGAATGGGTAAAACGTTGGCACATGTGTGTTGCAAAGAATGAGGACTATTTCAACGGGAACAGAATAAATTTATTCGATTAAATATCAATTTATATTTTATTTAACAATTTCAGGTACGTTTTCGAGCAGAAGGTATGTAAATTTCTTGATAGTGCAGTCAACTCAATTAAAAAGAACAGAACAATTCTAGCATTCGATGACATTACGTCCGATTTATCGCTTATTTATATAGGTAAATCCGAAATCTATGTATCCTTAGTCCAAGACAGCGATTTGTCTTGCATCCGTCGTTGCAAAGTGCGCGATTTTTCCGTGACTATTATATTTTATAATTTTTATATTTTACGTTTTATATTTTTTGTCGAGAAACACAATGTTCGAGTGTATTTTTGGCGAGCCGAGAAAATGCTTGACTCACGCGCTTTCTACTTTTAGCTGTTGCCCCCTGATTCCGTGCACATGACGAGTACGGCGAAAGCTCGGAAGCACCACGGAAGGTCAGGAAACAGCGATGGGATCTGATCGAAGAGTCGATGTCGGCGATATAATTAATCAGCGATTCGATGCTTGTATCGGCGTTATCACTCGTACCTGCTCGCGTGCTCCTCCTTCACGTTCTCGTCGATGCCGTTTTATCTACGCACACTACGCTGTTCGTATTCTTACGGGCTCTTAATCTTATTTCAGTTAGCAGTGGGCGGGGGTGGTGCTGTGCTGGTGCTCAGCGAGCTTGAAAGCATGGCGGCCAGGCAACAGCGGGAGATTGCTCAGCAAAGGCGCCTCCTGGAGCAGAGAGAGGCCCGCTTAGCTGTGCTTCGAGGCGCACAGGTGAGTCTCGTTGTATCCCACTGCATTTTCATCGTCATCCTCTCTTCCTCCCCTTCTTCCTTGTTCTCCACCTCCTCTGTTCCTCTGCGATTCCTGCATGTGAGATCCGACGACGCGTTACACGTGTGAGAAGAACGCGTGTAACGCGGTAGCCAATCGTTCCCTCCCGTTACGTATTTATTATGTATGACATCGGAGAATTATATCGATCAAAGCGGAGAGAGAGAGAGAGAGAGAAAGAGGGAGAGAGAGAGAGAGAGAGAGAGAGGTGAATAAAAAATGTCCCGGCGAATCTTGAGGGCGTAAAGTTGACACGTCCCGTGTGCCGAAAGCCATTACTGAGTGTTTGTCCCTTTTCGAGGACACAATATCGCGGTTTCTTCTTTCCGCTTTCCTTTTTCCCGATATTCCACCGCAGTTGCCACGGAAACTCCTAACAATAGCCGATGGTATTTCACATTCTCCAGTTTAAACTATCGGAACTCTCTCTCTCTCTCCCTCCCTCCCTCCCTCCCTCCCTCCTTACCTTCCATCCCTTTCCTCTCTCCCTCCTTTCTTCCCTCCGTTATGGACCGCGGGAGTTTCGCGATTCTCATCTACGCGCGGAAATCGCGCTCCTATTATCATTAGATTCCGATCGCACGCGTGTTTTCTTGCATCCTGCCGGAGGAGGTCGCGTTAGAATCTTCACATTGTGTATTATAAACTTTCAGAGAACGTTTTTACTGGCGAATGAACGAGCGGCACATTCGAGCGTTTCTTCAATCGCAAAGATACTCGCGATAATTTCATTGACTCTCGCATTTCGTTTCCTTAGTCTATCGTTCATTCATCGTATCGACCATATACATTGCTTCAGTGTAGCGCTCACGTTCACCCGCTGTTTATCGTTTCAGGAGCCAGCACAGCAGGACAAACTCGCCAGATTGAAGCACAGATTGGACCAGCAACAGAGCAAGCTGAATCGACTGCGGTTGCTCAGATCGCAGACGGACCAGTCTCGTACCAACAATGCGACGTTGAGTAAGTCGATCAGTAACCTCTCTTTCTCTATCTCTCCCCTTTCCTCTTTTTCTCTGTTTTTTTGCACATCTTTCTTAGCCTTGGAAAACTATCCGTCTGGGTGACGACTAAAATATCGTGCAACTATTTATTTTTCGAACTTTTCAAATTTCAATTCGTATCCGTCATTCGCGTTTGTGGTCGTGGATTGATGTGTCGATGTCGTTACGCGTCGCGCCACTCCGGTTCAATTCGCGAAAACTATGCGTAGCGCTTGGTGATGCGTACGTACCTTGTTAGTTGAGCATTGTTCAGATAGTTACGTCTACAGCATACTGAAAAACGATAGCCGCGGTTTGCAACGCGACGCGTTGCCGCGATAATAGCTCACGAAACGGCCGAAATTCGCGCAACGCCCTTCGTTAAAAAATTCTTTAGCGAATCGACACGTTCACGTATATTGCAGCATCTCGGATTGCAAAAACAAAACAAAAAAAAATCCAAAGTTATAATGATCCGAAATTCGGGATGAAAGTTATAATGATCCGGAAAATTCTGGGTAACTTTTTAATAACTTTAACTTTTTCAGCCGGGTTATAATTTGTGTGAACACGACGTCCAAGAGCGCCTCATTATCTGCCGAGATACGACGAAACTCGCTCTTTCTTCGAGAACTTACATATTTATTTACAATTTTGCCAACAAAAGTTGGGAAATAGCAAACGCGCGAGTTTTTGTCCTCGCATTTCACACATACACACTTTGGCCTTATATATAAATCTGTCCGCGAGCCGACGGTGTATATTTTGGCTTTCTGGCAAGGATCCGCAAGAAAAATTTTTGCAATAATGATATTTATCACGGAGTCCTACGTCGCGAAGTTATAAGAAATATTTCGCTGTGTTCGCTTTTTTTAATTCGCTACGCGCCTGACCCTTTCCCGTATCACATTGTCTCCTGCCACGCGTTGTCAAAAGTTTCGATAGCTAAACTTGTTGCAATTTGCCGCGAGCTCGAATGATTTGGCAAGGAATCTCCCTCCGGTTGATGCGAGGAAACTCCCAACGCGCCCGAACGACGCACCACACCACCAGATTTCTCGACAGGTCTGAAGTTCGGCTAACGAACTAATTTGCCATGCAATGCACACGGGACGCGCGCCAGCCGAATGGTTTTGCAAGAGTGCCGGATTGATTTTGACTTCGGCAGAGGTGTGCCATACTTTCGTGCTATTACCCATGTATCCCCCCGATTGTTACTGCAAAATGGGACGCGCGAGCGAATCCAATGGAACACTCCGACGGCACGTTAAATTATGGCAAACCACGCAGAACGCGACGATAAAAATAATTTCCGCCGTTCAGGAGAACCGATCCATTTTCTCAGCGCGGACCGCTGATATCCCGCTGGAGAATTCATCTCGTCTCGGCAACGCGATAAGAGAGATTTATCTGTCTTCACATCGCGGGACACACGATTAATCTTCGGCACCGGCGTGGCTCGTGACATCGGGCATATTTCGGGCAGGATATTTTGCCGGTATATAAATGAAATCCAAATACGCAAACCGATAGTTTGAAACCATTCGTTTCCCTTCGCTCACCGACCCGTCCATCCGTCAGTTTGTCCGTTATTCGCGACCCGTGCGAGAATCTTTCCCGTCCCGGAAAATAAATTGGAAAGATTCGAGCCGGAAAACGGAGAGAGAGAGAGAGAGAGAGAGAGAGAGAGAGAGAGAGAGAGAGAGATCTCGCTTCCCGTCCTGCGCTTTTATCGAATGCAATCGCGTAGAACTCATCCCCCCGTAGCCGCGCGCCGCCGGTAAATCATTCCAGACAAACATCGAAACATATCCGAAACGTTTGCGTCCACGAGGAAATTGCGGACAACACGATGCGCCGAGTGTTCCTTAATTTCTAACATGATTCGTTCCTTCAATCGTGCCCGTGCTGCAATCGATACGCGAGACGGGGTAGTCTGCGAGCATTTTGTTTGTCGCGTCGAGATCGAGAGTAATTTGGCGAGCGACTGCATGACAGTTCTCTCTCTTTCTCTCTCTCTCGATTGACTGTTTCCTACGACTATAAAGAGGAAGAAAGAGAGAGAGAGAGAGGGTGAAACAAAAAATTCGCTCGAACACGCCACGGACGAACGGCTTTATGTCGTTCTCGATCGACCGATAATTTGTCGTATCGATTCGACGATTGTCCGATCGACACGATACTCGTGTGAACAGATCCCGTTCGCACGTTAAATACCAGTTTCGTTCGTCGATAAGCGATTTCGTTTTTTACTTCAACCCCTCTCTCTTCTCTCTTTTTCTCTTTTTTATTTTTCGTCTGCACGGAATTCGTTGTACTTCGATTGAAACGAGCGACGCTCCCTTTTACCATTCGTACATACGTCGCACGATATTGGCCCTGACACGCAACACGTGTGACCACACCCAGTGGAACGCACCATGCGCGCATATATAGGCTCGCTACAACTTTCATGACCTAATCCCGGACGCTTGTCAGGGAAGCAAGCGAGCAAGATTTTTTTCTCTCGCACCTTTGCGTGGGGAAAAGCTACAAACAGCGCTCGGCTATAATTACTCGAGTGTGCGTTCAATTAAAAGCATGACCGTCGGGCTTTCTCGTCGTGGCCGCAGACGACGCACCGCCGACGTGTGCATGCAAATGCGGTCGTGCGCGCGGTCAGACATGTCGCATAAAATTGGGAAATTTTCGTTTCGATGCTGCGTTGCTTCGAAACAATTTTCGCATCGGCGCGCCACGATGAAGGCACGTAACCTGAGATCACGTTGTTACGATCGTTGTATCGTAGATTGCTGGATTTTCAATGGCAATATTTTGGAGTTCCTATATAAGTTTGTTATTTACTGAAAAAAATACTTTCCTATGATCTTATTCGATTATCTATGTAATAGATATTCATTTGCGTGAAATTGAAAGAAGATACACACGATATTACGTATAAAAAGTATTATCTTTAATTCCCGAGTCGAAATTTTAAATTCTACATTAAGTTTTCAACACGAGAAGACGACAATAACTTCTCCATTTGTAGCATCAAAGGAGCATTGTAGAAGACCTCTGAAGATTTAATATAAAACTAAGTTAGACTTAAAGTGAGATTAAAATTTCGACTCAGGATATCTCAGTTTCCGAATAATCAATCGTTCTTCTAATTGCGTCAATAATTAGATTATATTCGAGTCTGTGTATAGTGCAAGTTTTAACGAATTCTTAAAAGATTCATTCTATGCTGTAATTACCTTAAGGGGGTCATCCCGTGTGACGACCGTTTTTAGGTTTTAAGGTTTTTTTTGCATTTTTTTTGCGGCGAAATGAAAAAATACAGAGCTTCCAAATTTTTACTATATATTTATTACATCTTAAACTATATGTGTAAATTTTTTTATTTAAAAATATGGCGTCGATGGCGAGTTATATCACCGGAGTGGCACCCATGTAAAAAAAAGCAGGCAAACGGTGCCCACGATTCCGGCAGATTGGTTTATCGGAAATCAAAACATCAAATTGCATTTTAATCTATAGGTAAATGGCTATCGTGGGAACTAGGATTTTTTGAAAATATTAAAAATTCAATTTTTCGCCTGCTTCTAAAAATTATAACTCAAAATAGCATGATTTTTTACTATTTTTTTATGCAGACAGAAAACGGTTCAATATTTTTTAAAAATTTTAGTTCCCACGATAGCCACACATGTGCTGAATGTACTATTAACATTTTATTTAAATCCATTGAACCGTTTTCGAAAAATCATGGGCACCAGTTAAAAAAATCCTTTGCCAAAATTACTTTGCCAGTATATTCTATGCATGCTCTAGATTAGATTTATGCAAAAAAAAATCGATTTTTTGAAGCCGTCACACGGGATGACCCCCTTAAACGCGGATATTCACGGAATGCGATACAAACGCGCGATGCCACGCGCGGAAATTAAATATCATCGCGATGTCGGGGAGAGTACGCCGGGCGTTCCGAAGCGACGTGTGTCATTTACCGTGCATTTATAGTGACGCAACGCGACGTGGCTGCATCTATTGTTTAACGCTGCGCGTCGCGCCCGCTTTGTAGTAGTGTATATATCGGCGCGCGTGCAAAACGGGACACGTTCGTTCGATCGCGAAGGCGCGGATACGTCGCGGATCGATGGAAAACGCGCGTGGAGATTATTTTAAGGGAAGAGGAACGTGTCGATACTTTACCAGACGAGATTGTACAGTGAACGCATAGCGGTGAAAAAATTCCTGCGAACTAACGAACGAACGAACGAGAACGAATGGCGCACCGCGAGCCAGATGCAAATATGTGCATTCGAGCTCGAGAACGGTCTTCCCGAAGCGAAAACTTCAAAGAAACGATCGTATCCTCCGTATTATCGTTTACCCGAAATGTTCATGCTAAAACGGTAAATGTCAGACAGTAATTTGCCCGTTCGCTTGTTCGTTCTCGCCAGCTCTCTTTCGGCCGTTCGCTCCTTCACACTCATTACCGTCGTCCATCTCATTGTTAATTCTCCATTCTTCGTCGTGCCTTTGTTACCGGCTCACAATGCTCAAGATATTTATGGATTTTCACTTGTAACCTTTTGCATATTTTTATCGTGACGACTCTCGCACAAGCCATTCAAAATCGGCCGTGTCACCGGAATAACTTCTGTATCTTTCTTTTTTCGTCGAAAGAGTTCGAAAGGTTTGTCAGATGAAGTTGAAAACGAGATTACACCGTTTCTTTGCTCGGCCACAATTATTTGCACTCGAGTACTCGTTCATGATTCTCTGTCGGAGTTAACAATAAAGAAATTAGCATAAGGAAGGAGGCGAGAGAGAAAGAGAGAGGGGCAGAGGGGGGGGGG